AACGTTCTCGTTTGCTTTTTTTCTTTGCTTTTTTAGTTTGATAAATGTGGTCTCGTCATTTATTTAAAAATCAAACATTAAAAAGTGGCTAATGCATCACTACTTAAATTGTCCCCTTTGAACATGTATATAGGGATTGAATCTGTCGTAGTTTCGTCTGCAAGCAAGTGTCCGAGCTTTGATGGGAATATTCACTTTAGAATAGAATAGAATAGAAGTGTCGGCGTTGAAGAAAAAGGCCCATGGTCTGTTGCCGATTCTTGAACTTTACGTGACTTGATTCACAAGGGATCCGGCCTTTGGAACCCGATCTTTCCATAGCTGACGATAGATTGAGATAGCTGCTGGACTTATTGCCTGGTCCGTAATTTGTTAGGCATTTTGAGGATGAACATATGCTCCTGCATAGCTTCGTCTAGTCACTATTTGAAGATGTTCATACTCGGAGCGTCAACGATGCTATCAGGGAGGCTGTTCCACATGTCGGTGACTCGAAGCGAGAAAAATTTCAGGTAAGCTCATAGCTATGGAACACGCGTCAATGAAAAGCTTAACGGCCGGTTGACCCAAACTTTTCGAGTCAATTCACCATGTTGTACTACAATTTTCATGCAAATGTCAACATCGATAAAACATATTGATAGACTTGAATAGCCTAGTGAAACTTTTGAGGGTGTGAACTTTGAGACCTTTGCTAGAATAACAACTAAAGCAAACCTGCTTCAACATATTAGACCAAAATCAACACTAAGATATTCTCATCCGTGATTTGTGTCGATACATTTCAACACATCTACGATTCATCATTGAAAAAGATAGATCAAGTCACTCAGACTTAGATATAATTTTATGAACAAAGTACGTTAGGGAACTACTTGCACAGTTTTATCACATTAAGGAGTGTTGGTGTCACTGCAGGACTTTTTTACGATGTTATTCTTAAAATTATCGACTTTAGGAACAGACACGTTGCTGTAAAATGTCTCTCAGTAGCAGATTTTTACAGTTAAGGAGAATGGCAGCAATCAGCAAAATGCCAATCAAGTGACGGAGTTCAAATGAAATAACCTTAATTGTTCATCAATGTATTGGACCGGAATAGAAAGCATAGTCATGCACATATGTATAAATATATCAATACTCACGATGAATCATACGTTCTCATGGCTAGAGATTTCTGAATGAATTCATTGCGTAGTCAGTAACGTGTGAAAGTGGTTAGCTATTTATACAAACTAAGAAAAAGAGACTAATAAATATAGTCCAATGTTTTGATATGCACGTAATAACAAATTATAGAATATTGAATCTCTGTGCAGGAACGGCAAGAAAAATTTACCAAGAAAGGGTTCAACTTTCGTAAGAGTGGAACAAAATTCAGCCTCATATTACTCGAAACTAGAGAATTTCGCCGCCACATGAAATTGACTTCATTGCAAAGCTGGGCAACTTTTTTATGTCGTTGGCATATACACGCTGACATTATTAACGTGGAGATAAGACCGAGTATTTTACTGAAACAAACCAACGGAAAACATTTACTTAATGTAACACATTCCAAACCCCACACAGGTGGGGTTTTTCTTCAATTATGGAGTATCCACCGTATTATTATGAATATGAATAAAAATTCATGATGACTGCACAATTTTTTCTATATAAGTCTAATTAAATATACTCTAAACTTAACAAACGTATACTTTTTATGCCTAAGACAACCAAATATACCAGAATATTATGAAGAGTCCCGATAAACGTGATGGGTGCTAGCGGCTTTTGAAGCGCAAGAGGCTTCCGTTAGCTAAGGAGCTCCGTGGATAAGTGAGGCGTAGACAAGCTACATCACATCTCCGTTGAACATCACAAAAACGCACTTGACTTTAATTTATTTCGTAATACTTGATTACTCCAAGTATATATTGAATGGATATCAAGTTAATATAATTTCATTATTATAACAAATAATAACCAATCTCCTGGGTATTAGGATTCCGTTAGAAGGATGACGCAGCCGTAAGTTTTGTGATCATAATCTTTTCAGGCGAGAATTGTTTCACACACGCGGCTTGTGTTGGAAAGATCTTTAATGTCAACTACTTAGAAAAGGATATTTTCACGCATCATGTCTCAATTTGCCGCTAACTACAATTAGAGTGGCTTTGAAATTTACGCTAATCAAGTACCCTGAAGGGATGGGAGGCACTCATTGAACTTTGAAGCAACATTGACATTTCAAAAAATAATTCATAATGCGCCCGATCCTCGCTGCGTTAAATAGCAAACCTTTTTCACAGTAACAACAACCATAGTAATAGTAATCGAATCGACGGAGGGTCAAATTCTGATAGATTATTTTCTGAATGAAGTTATTTCTCATCATTTCTCCTTAGCAGCCATACAGAGATTGAATTAGACTCCTTTATTTAGACCTGTACGTTATACTTTATTTAGACCTGTACGTTATAATCACAAAAGACATTATATACAAACAAGGTGTGACATAATCTTGTTTTGCTGCGCTCCACCGCAGCAGCTAACGCCGCAGCTGTGCACAGAGTTCAGATACTTCGTGAAAGAGGAGCAGGAATTAGTACAATCGTACTGAACGATTATCGATCGTTTAACCAATTTGAGTACACGCTTTCAATGCAGAAAAATGACCATCAATATAGATGTCATTGCTACTGCTTGCAGTTTTAATGAGCACGGTGTCGATCAACGTTGGCGTACAAATGCTTGTAAAAAACAGTTTTCAAATAAAGTGATGTTATATAAGAATTTAATTTTAAAAGTTATGCATCATCAATCGTTTTTTGCATCGTAAGTCAAAAATATTCATAATTATCAAGCTGAACGGACTCGATCGTCGCTAATTTCTAACAAAAAACTATTTACTGTGAACTGGAGTCGGAAGTTCTTGAATTGCCTGCGCGCTAATACAGTCGACTAAGAAGCAGCATTTAGTAATCGCAGAAAAACGATGTGCGAAGAAGAGATAATTAAACAAAACAGAAACGAGACAAGCGTACTCGAGGTGCGCTAAAACGAGTGCATTTATTTTACTAAGTTTGTATCATGAAAACGTATCGGACGGTAGCGTCCCATTGTTGCGCGCTCTGTTGCGTGTTCTGTGGCACACATTTTCATAATGCAGCCTGAGTAAAATAAATACGTCAAAGATAATTGTAGATAATAGACCATGATTTAAACATACAGTTATTCTTTATGCAAAAAATGCAAATAAAGCTGACTTGTTTGAAATTGTATAATTCCTATAAAACTGACTAAGGTCAGCGGAAGCTGGGAATGGATTTGTGAGGATCGATTAGCTTACTTCTTCTACAAGAGCCGCGCAGCAACTTCGGGTAATGGTTTCTTGTTCCATACATCGATCTCAGATTTCACATGAAAAATTCCCGGAAGGCCTCTTCCTTTAGATTTCTCTTTGCTTATATTTATTATGATGCTTTTTTGTTTAAGTTGCTGGTCGACGTTCTGCTTCACCATTTTTCTTGTGTGACTTAATAAAACCAATTTATGCCTCAGTAAACTGGCATAATTTTCAGCGGAGTCAAGCGAGGCACGTCACAGGTATTGCTGGCCGATGGCGTCTTCGAAGAGACCTTCGTTGTGCAGGGCAGCGGAGATGGGCGACAGTAGATCGATCGAGGCGTCTTCACCGGCGATGTGGCGGACGGCAGACCCTAAAATGCTGGTCACCGTACCCACCAGCCCTCGAGGGGCTCCGTCGGTAGCACTTGTGTCCCCGCGTGGGACCACCGATGCGTTGTTGTCCCCTGCACCGCCGCAGCTGTCACCACTCGTATCCTCCTCGCTAAGGAAGTCGTCGTCGTCGTTGTGGTCGCATCGCCTGTACAGGACAAAGTTCTCCTTCTTGCCCCTGGAACTTGAGGGGCCCGCAGAAATGATGCGTGAGCTTTCCAAAGGGCTCGTCTCTTCGTCAGTAGAAACGCACTTTTCGCTGGCCAGTTCCCCCACTGACACGTCCGCCTCACCGTCCTGCACGCAAGGAAAATTCGCGACAGGCGTTCGTTGGATCACACATGTAGCAATCGACAATTGTGTGTCAAGAGTATTTTCTGTCATCCACAGTTAATTATTTCAGACTCAGAAATAAATATTTAGTACAGATTGCAAGTACAGTTTGTACCGCCTATAAGTCGATATTTATAATGCCAATCAAAAATTAGCCGCAAATTCATCTTCAGAATGAACAATTTGTAGTAATGCCGGATCCACGCTGCAAACATCGTCCGACGGATCGCTTTGAGAATAGGATGCTTATAGTTGAAGCGAACTAATAATAAACTCTCGTATTTTCCAAGAGAACTCGAGCGAAACTACTATTCAATGCATCAGGCAGCAAATAGCAACCAGGTGCTCTCACCGAACCCCTACACATTTATAGAAAATTATTATAACAAACTAGTCGATATTCGAAACCGGCAGGGACAGCTATTTATTAGGTTAAAAATTGATAAAATCTGCAGCAGAATAAAAAATTGGAAGTGAATGAAGTTTTTTAATTTGCTTTATTTTATGCACCATTCAGGACATGTCCTTAAAGTTTGTCCGGATTTCTGTTTCAGTACGCATCAATTATTTTCATCTCCGTGATTGGCTTGAGGTTTAAGAGCCTATAATTATTCATAGGTGAATGGCGAACGGAAGCTATGGAGCTTGTTCAGTATTTTGCCAAGAAATCGCGAAAAACAAGTTTAGAATTAGCAAGAGAGTTTCCTAAACAGAGCAAGGATACAAGTAGAGGTGGGCTCAAGGATTGGAAATGAAGAAAAGGTTGGAACGCAGAATATGGAATGAGAGATGGGAAGGAAGGAAGGCTAGTAAGTTAGTTTAGTTGTGTTGCTTATCAGCGCTTCAAAACTGCACAGTCGGTACTAAGGATGTAGCGGTTGAAGTATTGATAAAAGAACAGGAAATGGAAATAAAAGAAGATATAATGGCTAGAGGTGTAAAGATACGGCGCCAGTGTAAGCGTAGTGCGGCTCTCCAGCTCAAATGAGAACATTTAGGGAAAATTAGCTGCCAATTAATAAAGCACAGAATGCAAATAATGGATATTTGATAATTGAGAAACTTGTAAGTGCGATTATTTATCTGTAAAGTCGTGTGCAAATTAAAGAGAATAAACTGGTAACGAAGAGGCTCACGTATTGGAAACTTTGATCTTAAGCAAGCAAACACGTTTATATGAGCTTTGCTATCGTGCTACGTCTTAGCAAGGCACGACATTGCGAAACTGATCATTGTTCTCAATCACAATGGACGATGATAATGAGTAAAATTGCACACAAAATAAACAGTAAAAGCGTAGATGGAATGATGAGTTGTATTATAAGGCGGGCACACAAAACAAGGGCAGGGAATGCACACGACACGACTCACTCGGTGTATTAAGCAACTCCATACAGAGGACAAACCCACTTCAGTTAACATGACCTCGACATTACCCAGGAATTAACTGATTATCTTTAGCAAGCCACTGGAAATATATAAATTCGACAGGTCATCGACATCATAATTGTTGATTAAGAGAAGTTTTTACTTCCAGCATCTAGGTGACATTTAAAATTCTCGGCATATGAACACTGCTGGCAACAGAACATAAATATGAGACTACGGCATCGGTATCACATCATCAGCAGGTCGTATCTTCCAATGCAGCAGATTTGAGACTTGAAAGGAAAGACCTGAATGACGGTAATGGCCTGACTATATAAAAAACAGCCATTGTGAGTGAGTGATAAACTTGTGACAATGACACGAGGATTATAACAATATATCATCTACGGATAATGTGAACTACCCATTGTATAAAATGTGCTGCCTTAACAATAATGAAAGGATCTAACGCTGGTATCACTGACCAACACTTAGATGGTAGATTGCGCACTGAATATAACATGGAAGATGGTTATCGAGAAAACAATGGTCTCATTTCAAATTAATAACGTTCAAATTATAAGAAGTAAAAATGGCGTAACAACTATACATTGGAAAGGAAATTTCTAAACATTTATAAAACATAAAAATTTATAAAACGACAAAGAGAGGTTGTTGAAAATCATGATGATTCTTGATTCACTCAAATCATCAACAAAGAAGCCAATCAAAGAATGAATGAACAAAACCTTAATGAAAAATGAACACGTGTAGCTGCGGAAATCGCTAGGAACTAATTGAAGAGCTGCAACACCTTCCATATGAATGAAACACCACGAAGAATTATATTGTTCTCCCATGAACATATTTCCTTTACATAACAATGAACTTGAGTGGGCGCAACAGCGTCTTTCTGGCATGCACAAGAGGAAGACACTCACCGACATAAAAACATTCATCATTAAATAACCATTACATAACAGTACGAGGAAGACATCACAACCACCTTGCACCTACGCAGTTAATCCTAAGATCAATCGCAATTTTTAAGATGCGAACGTAAAGCGGAAAGTCAAGCGCTGTAACTTTTATCACCAATTACATGTGACTTTGTGAGCTAATACTTATTTTTTGGATGGGCAAAATGATGCAACTGATCATAAATGCTGCACGGCCATGAAAGGAAAAGTTTGCGATCATGAATCAAAACAGACTTAACACGTGGGACAAGGAAGAAAATTTTTTGAAATAAGGTGATGAGATAAAAAATACTGAGAAGAGTAGCAGGTTAGGAGGAGCAAGCGTGTACTGGTCGTACAAATAAATAAGGTAATGAGATGAAGAATACAGAGAGGAGTAGCAGGTTAGGAGGAGCAAGCGTGTACTGGTCGTACAAGTAAATAAGGTAATGAGGTGAAGAATAATGAGAGGATTAGCAGGTTAGGAGGAGCAAGCGTGTACTGGTCGTACAAGTATATCTGGTCGCGGTCAGCGATGTTCAGGTGAGACTCCAAAGAAATGGTTGAGGGAAGACGCGCTGTTAGACAAGAGGCAGCACAGAACGACCGTCCAGCGATCAGCTCGCAATAGCGCGAGATTAGTTGCCACGAAGTGACAACAAGAAGCAATGGACACGAACAAAATAGTTCAAAGGAATGCACTGAAATTATTGACAATTATAGGGTGATCACGGTAATATAAAAATTCATGAACTTCGAAATGTTAAAAAAACGTTAGAAACAAAACAACGTTATCATATTTGATCCATTTCATATTCTTCAACTAATTTTGCTTCTGAATTTTTTTTATCACGCGTCAGGTTTTATATTAGTCCCTTTAATCGGAAAGGAAGACAAACGTAAGCACTCCGCATAGGCGCTACAAGAGCCTCATTACGCGCTCATCGAGCGGAGAACTGGACGACCGTTGCATCGCTCACTACGACGGTGGGTGACGCGTCAGGTGTCACCTGAGACGAGGGCTTCAGGGGCAGCCCCAGTAAGGTAAGTACCGCAGCCGGCACGTCGCTCGAGGCCACCAACTGCTCGTATATCGCCTCGGCAGAGCACAACAGCTCCTCCAGGTTCAGGCGTTGGCTCGTGTCGTTGATGTGCTGCGTGTCAGGCAATCACAGTTAGGGTACATGCGACAACAGCTCGAAGACTCTTCTAATTTTATGCTAAGAATTATCAGACACGGTTCAGCCTATGCAGTTAATGCGATGCCTGTTCTAATTTTATGCTAAGAACTATCAGACACTGTTCAGCCTATGCACTTAATAAGCTGCCTGTTCTAATTCTTTCTTTGGGTTTTTCAGACACGGTTTAGGCTGTACAATTAATATGGTGCATGCAATGATTTTTAGGGCGTAAAAGATGGCATGTGTGCTTTGATACACAAAATAAATATGCATATAATTTTTTAATAAATCTAGGTCACCTAGGTTCAGGAAAGTCGAGTTATTCCTCACTTTGAGAATTTCCGTGAATTCAAACTTGTTCTCCATGATGGTGTTGCGTTCGTGGTCCAAAATGGCGGCGGCCACCAGCAAGTGAAAGTTCTTGCAGGGCTCCTGCGACCACAGCACCTCCCACAGCCTGCCAGCAGCAGCCCATTAGCAACATATGGGAAAGATAATATGCTCTACGTGAACAATGAATTAAAGTGAACAATTGTGCTTATGAATAAACTGCACCATATTGAATTAACAATTCCAATTGAAGAATAGCCGAAGCAACAATAATTTCCTACAACATAAGGCAGAAGAACGTGCCGGTCGGACTATGTTTTTCTTCGTCATTCATCGCCATAAAGACGTATCAGAGTAGGTTCATTCACATTCTCCAATAGAGCACATGCATAGTGAAATTTAATATTATATTTAATATTAGTTCATAATGTCATAGTGAAATTTAATATTAGAATGGCGTTTGATGATACCCAGCATCGTTAGAGATTCAGCTGATGCAGCTATATAGTTCATCATCAAGTCACTTTGCTACATATGGTAATAGTGATGCAGCATTGATGCACAACACACCGGAGCGTGTCGGAGTACGATAGCTCGCGTTTGAAGCGTACTAAGAGCCAGCGGAAGCAGAAGTATAGGTTGGCAGATTCACTGGACTCGAGGTAGCTCATAAACTCGGGGTCTATCACGGCGATGAGATGCTGCAGACCGAGTAACTGCTCCTTCATGCCGCTCTGGTCCATGTCGAAGTTGCGGTGCTGCTCATACATATGTCAGCATGAGTAATTCGTAAAAATCTTTCGTACAGAGCAGGAAAAAACTGGGATAACACAAATTATACAGTTATTGGAAAAATTGAAACAAGCGTGGGCAGTGTATAATATTTTTTATTTAGATACGAATCATCTCGGATGAACAACGAAACGTAATATTTGAAACTCACTCTAATTGAAAATTTTTAGTGATTTTGTCAGTTTACTGTTTAATTTCACACGGAATAGCATGAATGACATCATTGGTAATGGTCAGGTTGTCGTTTTTTCAAGAGATTTCGTGTCTGGAATAGAAGTATTCAAAGAGAAAATGAAGCTATCCTGCTAGCTTACATTATACGAAGCATTATTCATCTTCAAACATATTTGCAGCAGGACAGTGACGTCGCTAAAGGCTCCACACAACAGGGCCTATACTTTCAAAAAAAGTTAAGAGATCGTAAGTTCATCAGCCAATCATTGACGGCCTTTCAAGCTAAATCTACCAATCATAGACAAGATAAGTGCGTAAGTACTTACGTTCACTTAGCTAGTTTTGAAAGTATGGCCCTAGGACTCACAACAATGTCGATGTAGCCTACGAAGCACCAGAAGGCAGCGCACTCGTTCTGCGTGACGTAGAGGATGGGTGCGAGAAGGTCACTCATGCCTTGCACGTAGCCCAGGTCAAAGTTGAACATAACGTAGCTCATGAGGATGTTGTGCAGCAGCTGTACGTTAGGGTTGTCGTCCCCTTCATAGAACGGGTGACTTCGGTCCGTACGGTTGACGTCTTTTTCTGTAGGCCAACATGACCATTGAATGAAGCTTCAACATTTTAATAGAATACCGTACGAGACATAGATATGGATTTTTTTCCCAAAAACACATCTTTAGTGATATTTATTGAAAATGTTTCAATAACTTAGGCACATACATTCATAGTAGTGACTTCCTTCAAGTGAAGCATTCATCACAGAGATCTTATAAGCTATGCAAGAACGCACTAGCGCGCTTGCACTTATTCAAGACAACAGAAAAATTACGTTTATATTATATTTAGGCCCACCTATGAGTGACTTTCTTTCCCTGAATCCACTGTTGCGCAGCTCCTGGTCTGCGGTCATGGTAGACCACTGCAGCTTCAGTTTCTGGTACTCCACCAAACGCTCGTTACGACGAACTTCCCGCTGAGCGCTGCTGGAGCTCCAGTCGTAGTAGCCCAGTAGGTAGCACCACAGCTCGCTGCGCAGGCTCGGGTGGATGCCCTTAACAATTAAACAACAAAAAATAAATATTAGTTACCGTCACTGATGCCTTATGCTTAACTCAATACAATACGGTAGAACAAACACAAAAGGTGGTCAGAGTGAACCGCTTCAGTGATTAGTGAACCGATGCACCCATCAGTGAACCGATTCAGCTATCTGTGAACCGCCTTAAGATAAGCTTCATAAAGAAAGGTAGCTCCAATTAACAATAATGCAGGTCATCCACATACGGAAGCAACTGTAAAAAACATCACAACACTGAAAGCAGCAATGTGAAGCGATGTCTGCACTATAGGAGTTGTGTGCGTTTCAAGTTCTAGTATTCCAAAGTTTCAGAGAAATATTGTCTATTTGGCGCCAGTCTTCAGCTATGTACGGTCTCCAGTTACGTTAAAACAATTAATCTCTACGGTGGTCCCTGGCGTGCAGGGCGATCCAATCTTAGAGGGCTTGGGGACAGATTCTCTGTTGCCAGAGCTATAATTTACTTCTAATTCGTCACCTCAGTTTAATGTACATCCATGGAATTATGCTAGATCTCTGACAGCAGCATACTCTCGATTAGAAATCGTTTAAAGTTATCGGTTCTGAAGTTGCTTCGGGGAGCTCCTTTTAGCATTCTTGTGATGATTTCGTCTTGATGGAAGCCTATTGCATTTGGGTAGCAGTTCTGTCGGATGTTACAGTAGCTGGGCCACTTGGCTGCGACATGCCATACCGTCAGGGGTACCAGGCAGTCATCACAGTATGCAATGGGGCGGCGATTAATCAATTGCAGTTTGAAATGGGGCGACGATTAATTAATCAAGTAGTGGCGGGCGAGGTGCGAATGACCAATCATAATTCTATACAGCGCCACCTCCACTAGTACGATGAGCTCCAAGCTGGCACAAAGTCCTTAATTGCTCATGGTTAATTTGCTCCCACGCTCAGCCACAACTCGCGCCATACGCGGCGAAGGCTAGCCCTGATGAGGGAGTAGAGGTCGTGGCAAGGGACGTCCTCACTGTAGATGGCTATAACCGACAAAGCTGCGCCCACCGCCGCTTCGGCTGCCCGGTCGTTTTCCCATCTATAAGGATCAGGGCCCAGAGGACAAGAGACGTTCCGCGGTATAAATTGATGGGTCGGGCTCAGTCGTATAGCAATTTTTGCTGTGTTGGTGTACGCGTTTTGAAGGTTTGGTCAATACTTCTGCTACATTAGAATCATATGAACAAATACGTAACGCAACAGAAACGCTGCATATTTCTGCTTGCTAAGTTCGCTCAAAAAAAACTTTAAAAATGTAAATAACCTTGTTTATCAACAAAAAGAACAATATTTGAATGCATTATAAACACTAACATATCAAATGTTGCTCTATTTTAAGAACCAAAATACATTCTCCAATAAAATGTCTGTAGTTACCAGGTCTTACAAAAAGGTAAATATGTACAATAAAACAAATTAAAATAATAATAACAACAATCTAGTGCAAATAGATAAGTTGCTATATCACTAACATAGCGGGAATCCGTCCCAACCTTGTTATTCGTCAGCAGAATTTATGATCACTACATAGGTACATGCTCATGACCAGCACGCCACTCACTCCCTTAAAGATCCTGCGCTTGAGAAGCTGCGGGTCCCTCACGCCGCCGTCCACGTCGCAGTGTTGGCTGTACTCGAGCTGCGTCAGCGGAGGCAGCCGCTCCACGCGCGGCCTCTCCACCAGCTTGCCCTTCAGTGTCACAACCTGGAAGCCTGGTGCATACCACACATTGATCATTGTGGTGTCATGAGTATTAAGGCAACAGTGTTTTAGTTTAGTTTTCCCAAAAGTTTAATTGAGAATCATTTCCAACAACCCGTTTTAGGGAATGTTTTGACATGATATCTACATTACAAGGCTGAAGGCTGCCATTAGATATTTAAATTAATAGGTTCGAGGTAGTCAAGCAATAACATTTTGCACTACCAGGCTCTAGGTTGTCCAGGCCACTGAGGGAGGCGAAGGGGTTGAGGTCGTCTCCTCCGCGCTCCGACACGAAGCCTTCAGCCCAGTCGTCCTCAGAAACTGGAAATATCAAGCAAAGCGGTTCATCTTGTGATTCAGGAACATTAAACCCAGAATAACCACATTTGAAAATCTATAATAAAATTTTACAAAGATTATAAAACAGTGCAACCATTTTCCTACTGCTTCTCTAAGTTAGTCTCTCCGAGATAGCTCTAAGAACAACATAAGACTAAGACATGACATAACAACGCGTCTACAATGAGAAAGACAAAGCAAGTTGATAATTCAATATCAACAATAGCAAAGGAGTGTCAAGTTGTCATTTGTGACGTCGAATAATTGCATGACAAGTCGAGCGGTGGTTACGTACCCAATTCTCTAAGGTAAAATTAAATAGTGACTCAATAGTCGAAGCCGTGACCAAAACTTGCATCTCGAGGACGGGGGCATACTAGAGCAACCTCCCTTATGATGACAAACTCTGTCAACTCACGGACAATATCATAGAACTTGGAGAGGGTGGTGAGGGTGGTGGTGTGATGACAAACTCTGACAACTCACGGACAATATCATAGAACTTGGAGAGGGTGGTGAGGGTGGTGGTGTGATGACAAACTCTGTCAACCTACGGACAATATCATAGAACTTGGAGAGGGTGGTGAGGGTGGTGGTGTGATGACAAACTCTGTCAACTCACGGACAATATCATAGAACTTGGAGAGGGTGGTGAGGGTGGTGGTGTAGGGGTCCCGCCTGAAGTTGCTGATGAATCCCATGACGCGCTGAGGGGCGGCTGTAGTCCAGGGCACGACGGCAGAATGAAGCTCCACTTGACTAGAGCTTGTATGCTGCGGTGAGCCTCGGGACCTGCTGGCAGAATGGGGCTTAAAATAATTATATGAAATTTGCTCAGAACACAAAAAATCTTGCATAATATATTTGTGCTCATAAGCAATTATATCAATACTACTATGGATGAGATCTGCTTAATTAGATGATTTTTTCAACATCTGACATGCGCAAACCGAACTTAAATTCTGAATTATTGAAGATATCCTAGAATAAATGAACTGACTGCCTAGCTAGCTTAACCTGCCAACATTATCCCATATTTAATTAAATAACATAAGAATAATATTCAAATTGAATCAAGTTCAAAAATAAATAAAGCATGGGAATTAGTGACTATTACTGAAGGGTTGGTCAACTACATTTCAATATAAAATGTTGCACAAAACCAACTTTAAGTACGATGATGTAAATAATCACGTACAATATAAACCAATCCACCTTACTTACAAATGTTGCCTATAGAACTATAGAATTTCAGTAGTGCCCAGTTTGCACTAATCATAACAATATATTGACACAGTTGCATTAACTAACAGTTACAAACAAATTTACATATAAATAAGTTATTACAATTTGAAATGATTACACTTCTAAATGAAATAAAGTGTAAGCAAATAAAAATGAAGAAATACAACATAATAATTCATGTTTTGAATAAGAGGAACAAGTAATATGCATCGTGGCTCACTTAGAGTCAGAAGAGGAGCTTCCATGCAGCTTCCTGACACGGGAGCCTCTGCTGGCATGCGACACAAGACCTAAAGCACTCAGCTGGTCGTCTATGCGGGCCGTCTTCTTGTCTCTCAGCAAGAATAATGTGCTGTCTTTTTCTGATCTGTTGCAAAACAATAGAAAGAGAAATGCAACATGTGAAAAATTCAGACCCAGGCATAAAGGTACAAATAACATTTAATGATCACATTACTTCACACATTTGTAGCAGAACAAACATTGAAAATTAGTGTGCCATAGCATTTTTAAATACAGTTGAGAGCAACATCAGATAGGATTATCACTGTAACATAGCTTTACGTAAGGTTTTATTGAATATAGAAAGCCAAGAAGAGCTTCGTGATAACAATCAGCATCTCTGCCATTTTTAAACTTGAAGAACTGACCGTTTAATGGCGACGTATCTGGAGAGAACCTCAACAAAATATTCAGCATCCTTGCCAGGAAACTGCAGCGCTGGGTGAGTGGACCCATCACGTTGAATGAGTACCAAGCTGCCTTCAATAGTCAGCTGGATCAGAATAAGACATACTTAGATATTTGTACGTCAAATCCACTCAAAACTGGATCAATTTAGTCCCAAGACTCGTGAGACAAGGTTAAAAGATATGAGATTCCAAAATATGATAATGTAGCAACGATAGAGGTTGAATAAAGATGCATATTTGCAATCAATTGATGCTTTATAACTCAAAATATATGCCCAAGACTTAAACTCATGAATACAATAACAGTAAAAGTACACACGACGAGAATGCCAGGAAGGAACTCACTTTGTAACTGCCAAGATCAGCCAGCTCCACGGATATTGGTCGGACATGTCTTCTTGGAGTTGAGATCTCCACAGAACCTTAAGGTTGAAGGAAAACTGGATTAATATTAGTAGTAAGAGTCTTGAGATTTTCTCTGATTTTTCCTTGACAAAATGAGGAGTTTTGACTTCAGCATACCATTCTGTTCAGTGAGATGGAAGAAACATGTGCCCTTATCTTGATTGGTAGCTAGTACTTTTTCAAGAGCAGAATAGCTTTCTCAGTTTTTCTCTTATTTTTTAGGTGCACTATAACTCCTGTCCTCTTTGGACTTGTGTATAAGAGTTTGAAGAAGTGTGATGTCCAGCACAATAAGGAAATTTGACATATCAAAAAGCATTGCTCTTCCTTTTATCAATAAGTGTGAATATTCCTGTAGTTGAAGATAGACTCAAATTGACATAAAGGGTTTCCAGTTCCCAAAGAATATTTCATGAATGGGAGAGTCTTGAAGAAATGGGAGTAGAAGTTTTGAAATTTCATGGCCATTTATAGTGATAATTTTTTCAAATACCTTGGCTGAATGTAAATTTGGTGGCTTCAAAAGACTAAAAAAATAGCACCATACAGCTGGTCGTCTACTTATATCCTAAGTGACCACACCTGCTAATTATAGCAAATGGATTCTCATGCATTTCTAAGAGTGCCATTAGAGAATTGAACAATGAATTGAATTTGTTACCAAACACCTTTATTAAGATTTATTTTGAATGATGAAAAACTCAAAGTAAGAAACTGATTACAATCTTGAAAATAATTAATGTTAATCTATTTTCACTAAGATAACATCACTAATTTTAGAATGAACTGAATGCTGCACTGTGGTGGTCTATTTACCTGAAGAATTGTGATGTGTGAATGTCACAGCAGATTTGTTCACCACAGCCCAGTCATTATCAGGATTGCTCTCGTCATCACTGCAACGCCATTCAATGTACGCAGAGTGACGCTGAAATGCAATAACAAATGCTGATGAATCTGCCAAATTTACTAATGGCAGCAACTCTATGAACTTTTTTAGTTGCAGCTAATAAAGACAACAAACCGTCAAATGGGGTAATAGGGGATTGTCTGGGTAATAAGGGAGGGTCCGGGTAAATCGGGAAAGTCCTCCGTCATTGCATAAAAATGTTATAGCAGCAACACTCATTGAAATATTGCAAAACTAAAAATAGTGGCGTAAACTTCACCATTTTTCTTACGTACATAGCATAAAGGAAGTTTAGAAATTGTACATTTACTAGCTTTAAAAAGTCCCTGAAAAAATGTTAAAATGTGATATTTTGAAAAAGTAGTTTCTGTTAAGGTCTGTAGTAAAAAATATTAGCCGCACTAAAAAATTTTGCTGGAAAAAAACTTGCAGACACATGTTGGCTTCAGAAATTTATTGACAGAATTTGCATACCTCAATCCAAAACAAAATAGTGGCCATTTCCACAAGACGGAGTAATGTCCTCCTAATGTAGGTAGCTTTAAATAACAAGCTGGAAAAAGAAGATGTCTGATGTATGAGAAAATTTTATTCATATCAGCTGAGGTTTACTATATCAGCTAAAAAAATAAACAGTTGAAATAGGTAAACTAGATCCATGATCCATCCATAGTAAAAAATTTTTCCAAGCAAAAAAAATTAGTTGTAATAAATTTAGCAAGGATGGTTATCTAAAATAGGTGCAATCAGTAAATTACTAAATTAATTAAATGCAAGTAACAAATAATGCATGATGTCAAAGGGGTAGACCAACATTCTAAGCTAATATAGCCAAATATTGGCATAATCACCAAGCAGGTGTTATGGGCCACACTCTGAAAGATTTATGTTGTAGGGAATTTCCCACATGCAGATCAGGCCATTTCATCAAAATTATATATATTTTTCTTGACCATTAAAACTCTGTCCAATTCCAATGCAAGTGTTATAAAGGTTCATCTTTCTAACTTTAAGTTTTTGATAGAAATTGTATGAAAGTACCAAACTAAACATGAACCTCATTCCTCAAGCTTCCTCTATCAAGAATAGAATTGTCTGAAATTTTCAAAAGAAGAATTACATTATTTACAAATTAATTCCAGAATTGCATTTTTAAATTATTCTCTTGAACACTGGAGTCTTCAGACTTAAAGCTCTATATCCTTTTAAAGAGATCTCTCTGCTAGAATCAGAAAGTTTTTTCGATGAGATTGAGAGTTCCACAAAATCCAAACTTACTCTCTCAATGATGCGCAGCCTGCCTGCCACAGAGAGCTCCTCCAGAGATGTAGGGATTGTATGCACCTCGTCTTGTTGATATACAAGCTAAAAAGTAAGATTAAAATTAGAAAAAACATATAATCAGTCAATCTAATTCTATTCAGAAAACTACAAAAATATTTGTATTTATTCATTATCAATTGTGAATGGAACTCTTAGAATAAGTCACTTATTTTGCATTTGCAGCAGTGATTTGCTCCATTTTCAAAGGTAAATGGGTAATTTAAACAAAATTCAGGAAAACAAATTGGAAATTAAATTTTTTATTGAATTGATCAGTAAAGAAAATGAAGGAGTAGCTGCAGTCATATTAAAAAATATTCTACAATTTACAGGTATTGAGTTAATTGAATGTTTAAATTTATAGAATTCATACCGTTTCTTCTTCCATGGTGAACTGGTGAGAGCTTGAGATGAAGGAGGGACAGAGCCACAAAGGCCCTTGTACAAGGTTTTAAGAATCAATCCACAGAAAGCTAGTATTCACTATTGCATTGAAAAGGCATCAGATTCCAGAATGAAACAGGGAGATATTATGAAATCTGCAGATAAAAACATGCAGTTTAATTAATTGGCATTTGCATAAATTTGAATGAGGGCACAAGGTTTGCCAGTTTGTAGTAATGCTTGAAATGGTGCTACCAGACGTCCTTTTACAAAAATAAACTTCTCAAAATTATAATTCTGTGTATAATATAATTTTCACAGAAACAATTTGAATTCAATAAGAATCCAAATATTAGGTGAAGATTACAAATAAAAATAATTTCATATAGTTTTAATAGGGTAATGTTATAAAATTATTTTACTTCTATTACCTGCATTTCTATAGTACTATGTATATATGTACAATTAAAGATCATAAAATCAAAATAATATTGATGCCAATCAACAACATTTTCAAATTAGAAGAAGCATTGAAAAATGAAATTTTGGCAGACTAGGGCCATGACCAGGCCCTAATTGGGCAAAAACCACACGTGAATTGGACAAAAACGTTCATAAATCTGACCTATTTCACCTGTTTTTATGTCTCTTTCCCCATTTCTTCAATAAAAATAAGAAAAACAGCATATAATTGGCTGTTTTTACCTGAGATTTTCAAAAATCACCATTGAAAAGATCATTAAACCCAGGATTTTAGGAAAATTTTGCCTTATATTCAAAATAGGATAGGTGCCCCATGTGAATGAATGAAGTGAAAATGAATAAAATTACATCACAATTAACCTACTGAAGGAAAGGCTTCAACGAATTTTTGTATCTACATAGGTTTATTGAAATCTATTAGGAAAACTGGCTACCTATATGGAAAGTTGCACAAATAAATTTTCCCAAAAAATTCAAAGACACTATCAAAACTTCTTGTTTGGTGTTGTGATAATTATTATTATTATTATTCCACGAAGAGATATTCATGGCGTCTCGTTCAGATCTAACTTTGAGAGCACGTTACAAGTGGCTAGAAAAGACACGAGAGGATAAATACAGATGACGTCTCTGCTAAAACAGAGGACATATGCCAAGACTGATGACGTCTATGCTAGAACAAACAACACCTATGCTAAACCAGTAATATCCATGATAGATTAGATGACGGCTAGGCCTAAGATTCAAAGGCTCTACGGAAAAGTTCTGTTTTTAGGCGTCGACGAAACAACGGCAGCGAAGAAGCAGATGTCACCGATGCTGGCAGACCATTCCATGTTCTGGCCGCAGCGACCGGGAACGCTCTGTCGCCGACTGTGGACAGACGTGAGGACGGGACGACGAGGTCAGCCTTCGACGAGGAACGCAGTCGCCTTCTAGAAGGCAGATCCGACACGCGCC